AGTAAACTCATTAAGTCTGGTTTTTTGGAAGCAAATAATTTGAGATCATCCATGAACAAGAGATGTGATATAGCCTCAGCTCCTCTGCGAAGTCGGTAGCCTAGCGTTGAATCTTTAAGTAATGTACTTAAAGGATTAAGCGCCAAACAAAACCACAAAGGACTCAGACTGTCGCCCTGAAAGATACCCCGCTTAATCCTTATTAAATTCGGGGCAGCAGAAGAAGTCATCTGACCTGGTTGACTAAGAAACGTAGACCATTGACCCATGCATGAGCTAAGAAAGGAGCATAGTATGGGATTTATTTTATATAGCTCTAAAACTCTCATTAGCCATGTATGAGGCACAGAGTCATACGCTTTCTTATAATCAATCCAAGCCATATGAACGTTCCTCTTACTCCGCCGAACTTGTTGAGTAATGGTCATGTCAATGAGTAGCAAATCTTTTGTACCTCGAGACCCTGCCTTACATCCATTCTGATTAGGTGATAAAATGTTATTATTAAAAATGTGAGTTTGAATTTTGATTCTCAAAATGGATGTAAGTAGCTTATAGATAGTAGGTAAGCATGTAATTGGTCTGTAATTCTTGGGATCCGAGGTATTGCCAGATTTATAAATCAAATAAGTGATACCAGATGTCATGAAATCTGGGAGTGATCCCAACTCAAGGGCCTGTTGAAATTGAGCTGCCAGGCGTTATGTGAACTTCGGATCCACTTGATCCAGTAACTGTGCAGTCCGTCCGGTCCCGGACTTTTCCAATTTGGCATCGAACGTACTGCACGAGAAACATCAACGGCGGAAATTGTTATTGGATCCATCTCTTTATACGATTCACATTCCCGCCTGACAGTTTGTATCCATTCCCCTTCAGAGTGACACTCTAAATACTGTTAAACATACCGGCTGTATCTTTTACAAGATTTCTGTAGATAAAACGGTTGTCTGGAACAGTTTACTTTTAGCAAGAAGACCGCCTATTTTTTTTTAATTGCTATTGTGAGCAGACGAGCATACGGCCCACCTGATGGTAAGTGGTCACCGTCGCTCATGGACGTCAGCAATGTCAGGGGCAGAGACCAGCCGCTGCCTACCATAAGCCTCGTTTAAAGAAGGACATGTCATAGCGCTCGGAAAACACCGTGGAGGGGAGTTCATTCCAAAGCCGGATGGTACGTGGCAGATCTCTGCTTGTTGACTGTTTTTGCATATTAATTGTGTTTTGGTGTGCAATAAAGTATATTCTTTCTATCTCTCTGTCGCTTATAATGCCGAGGGCTGCACGTTTTACAATAAAATCCTATTCTATACAGTTTTATAATAAAGTTGCAACAAAATAATAAAGAACGGCTCTAACAGAATTCCTTCAAGTAGGTACCTACATAATTGTTTCATGTTAATTTTAATTAATCGTAATAGAATAGAGGGAAAAACCTTGTACGTAATAAATGATAAATAACATAAAATGAGACAGATCTGAGAACACATATTCTGCACATTCATGATATAATAGCCGGCAAACTTCTTGAGCATTTGTCGACGTAGTGGGGGTAAGTTTGCGCATGGTACACTCACGTGCAAAAACATTATTTACTCTGCGTCATAATGCTATTAAATTATTAAAATCAACATATTATGTATTTATTTACATATTTATTAGAACATCATCAATAAATATAGGTTAATAATTGTAATAATTTAATCTTGGGCTAAAATAGATATTCCTTCTATTAAGTCAAAACTAGAGCTATTGCCAGGTCTTCGTTCAGTTGAAGCGAAGCTGGTATTTGTAAATTTTTTTTCGTTATCATAATCTTGACCATCATCATCATCACTGTTTTCATCACCCGAGTCGCTATCATCGTGATGAGTCGACATAGGGCTCATCGGGGTAGTTTACACCTCGGTCGGTTCGGTCTTCTTTTTTGTCTATAATTAATTATTTTTTGAAGATATTCGATTCGTAGTAATCGAATGTTACTTTTTTCAATTACCAGCTTCCGATTACTTTCTGTTTTTTTTTCCATCTGAAGCCTAACTCTTTCATAATTCGTCGTAAGCTTCATTCCGAGCCATTAAAATTTATATCTTCTTTAAATTTTTCGAAGCCTTTCTACGATACGGAGTTTCGCTGCTTGTTATGTAGTTATTATAATTACATCTTTTTATTAAAGATTGAACGAAACTATCCATTCTGGTAACTTTCTTCTTCCCTGATCTTTTCTTACCCGGAGTCCGAAACACGGCGAGAGCCTTTAGCTTCGTTAATAATGCACCTAACAGTACTCACTGATGTTTTTCTTGCTTCCGAAGTCTGTTTTACTTTTTCCATATCATTCTTCCCCTGTTTTATAATGAAGCGATATACGTCGTACACAATTTTTCTACCCTTTCTTTTGAATACTACACCAGTTTGTCGCGGCATAGTGTATTTTTTATAAAAAATCAACAAACACTCAACATTTAGCAATGGCAACAAAGTCAACAAGCAAATAATACAAATAACGTAATAATTAATAACGACAGACTTTTCACTGTACGCAAGCGTACTTTTGGGAGCAAGCGGAAAGAGGGCGCGGTGCGGGACGCAAGGTTCGACTGATCTACCAATAACGCGCTCGATACGATTTCCCCTGCCGTCGCGCCTCACCCTCACCACCAAAGTGATCTAAAATTCGGTTCTGCGCAGTCAAGGTCATTTACTCAAGAAGTTTGCCGGTTACTATACCTATAAAAAGACATAAAATATTATGTGATAAATATATGGCATATACATAGTTTATTATCTGTTTAATGACAACCTGAACCCATATAAATCACAACTTGAATGACGCCACCCACTTTTTATTATAATTTTTTTATTGCATAGATACATGGACGATTCACGGTCCAACTGGTGTTAAGTGGTTACCGGAGTCCATAAACATCTACAACGTAAATACCCCCCCGCCCACCTCGAGACAAGACTTTTAAGGTCTCACTTTAACGGCTGCCCCGCCCTTCAAACCGAAACGCATTACTGCTTAACGGCAAAAATAGGCAGGGTGGTGGTGCCTACCCGTGCGGACTCACAATAGGTCCTATTACCAGTATAAGTATAGGAGGTCTGCTTATCTTGTGTTATAAAAGAACATAGATGAAAAAGTCGGATTGTGGCCTAAAGGAAAAGACCTCGTACGCAACAAATGATGCGGCTATGCTGGTGATGAAATCCTGTATGTACATTGCTTATGTCTAAATTAAAATGATGCAACTGTGTCAAACGCACTTAGTTTGTTGTAAACTCGTAAAAAATAATCTATAATTATTATTTTCAGGTGAAATCCACCAAAAATGCACACTTAAGTGGAAGAAATCACCAGTGTGCAGTATGTACCACTTACTCCCAGTAAAATGGATCTCGAAGATCAACGATGGCGGAATCTCTACACAATTCTTCATGGCTATGATGGGTAAGTACAGACAATAATCCAGGGTCCATTTATGTTACTTGCCGGTCATCGTTCTCGTCGAATCCATCGCTTACGACGAAGGGCCCGGCTAATAAATTAACCCACAGACACAGCTCACTGAGTTTCTCGCCGGATCTTCTCAGTGGGTCGCGTTTCCGATGCGGTGGTAGATTTTGCGAAGCACTGCTCTTGCTAGGGTCAGTGTTAGCAACGTCGTCAGGTTTGAGCCCCGTGGGCTCACCTACTTGTTAGGGCTACGCTACAATTTCATCTCGAGGTCATCAGCTTAAGTAAGAAAAAAAAATGTTACTTGCATTTCTTTTGTTTTTTTTCGGATAATAGGGTAGAATATCTCACGGCCCACCTGGTATTAAGTGGTTACGGGGCCTCATAGACATTAACAACGTAAATGCTGCCTCCGATTTCTGGATGTTTATGGGTTTCCGAAACCATTTAACACCAAGTAAGCCAAACTCCAGATGGCCAATGAGCTGGTCCACCCATTTATGTAATAAAAAAAGTGTGTTCAGTATGTTCGCTTTTACTTACTATAATAATAATAATAATAAGTGGGATCAAATCTAGCACGGTCATCCGGCCCCAAATTAGGATTCCCCTTGTTATGGGCACCAGAGATTGTATACGTACTTATTATACTGGGTGTTAGGAGACCGCTTCCGAAAACGAAAACAGACAATAGTACTAATGACACCTTTGATGATGGGACGGAAAAAAAATATTTAAAACTTTTTATCAGCATTATTTACGCTCCATCATGTTGTACAGCTAAATGAAACGATGCTTTCATAAAAAAATACATTACTTAAAAATTACCAGCAATGGAACACAAAATAAAAAACAGCTGATGCTCGGGTCAACGAACGCCCGGGCGCGGCGTTTGTTTTACACGCACACAGGCGCAGCGCTGATACCGCGCTCCCCAAAATTTACAACTTTGTGGGTACAAAATTTTCGTTTTCGTAAGCGGTCTACTAACACCCAGTACATATAATGCGTTTAAGTATATAAATATATAGACAATAGACACCCACACATTGTTCATTACGAATGTTTGCCCGATCTGGGAATCGAAACCACGACCTCGGCACACCAGTCAGGGCCACTAACTACCACCAACGAATGCGTCATATACTATTACTACTACTATGTCACTCATCAACCCAGCTTATTGACCTGAGAGTGACAGGAGCTTTAAATGTGACCTCGTCTTAAAAGTGATGGAATAATTATGTTTATGTACCTCTAGTGACCTTAGCACCGGATGGACAGTAAGCTAGTCCGATCCTGTAATAGCAAAAAAAACTATACACTATGTCAAAAACTTTCAGAACTGCCAACTGTCGAATATTTATTATTTAATAATATAATAAATATATTAAAAATTGTCCGTACGATATAAAATACGAATATGTATTATTCTTACCTTTGTCTCTTCGCAACCGGTGGCATTTACTTTTGAATAAATTATTCAAGTCTACATCAATATTAAATTATGGATACTATTAAAGAAATTACGACTACCCAATACAAAAACAAATCGGTATCAACCAGAACTGATCTTAATATTTTAATCATTTATTTTTGACAAGTTCTAAGTGTGATTAACGCAGCGGCTCTAAACCTTTTTATACTCACTAGTATACTCGTACCCTACAAATACGCAACACCTTCAACATATTTTTTAAGGGATTTTATGACCTGGTAACTAAGACCTTTAGGTCAAGTCTTATTTTAATTTTAATGAAAACTTTTATATGAAATGAAATGAAATGAGATGAGGTAAGAAGAGATGAGAATGATATGGGATAAAATATGTCAGTAAAATTGTGGTTTTTTTTTTATTGCCCTTGTTGGCAGACGAGCATACTGCCCACCTGATGGTGAGTGGTTACCGTCACCCATGGACTTCAGCAATGCCAAGGGCAGAGCCAAGCCGCTGCCTACAAATTCATCATGTGGTGGTCATTTACTGAGACTTTTTCAGTCTACTTTTTGGAAGATCTCTAGAAGTTACGTCACTTTGTGCACAGCTCTTTCACAGATACTAAACACCGTTATTACGCATTTAAACCTGAAAAAAGACTAAGTAGACAAAATAAAACAAATCACACAACTTCACTGCTCGCGTTTCCGCCAAAAGTCACCTTCACATACTTGCATATATTTTTTTAAGAGTTCAAGTGAAAGTAGGTTTTAGTAGAGAGCATTTAATACATTTCGCCTGCGTGGTCAAGAAAAAGCTTTATTGTAGTTTCGTGGGAATGAGATTATTTTTTCGGATAAAAGGTAGCACGTCACACTTCTGACTTAAAACTATCACTTAAAAAAAACACTTAACTAAAAAAAAAAACAATTACTTAGAGAAAATCATGTCAATCCGTTGCTTTGTTTCGACGTGAAAGAAAGACAAATAAACAAAGGAACAAACATAAATTTTCACTAATATTAATTTATAAAACGTAGTTGTAAAGTTAACATCTAGTTAGCAGAGATACAGTTCCGCCGGGTCACCTTAATTAGAAACATCAAATTTGTAAATCTCGCGACGTACTTGTCTGGCTTGCAACACCCCCTAACGGTGGTTGAGAACCGCTGGACTAACGTCTTAGATCTTATCGACCGTATCTTAGATCGAAACTTGTTCGGTAAAGTTGCACATTCTTCTATCACAGTCACCTGTCACCGCGATCTTGTCACGTACGAACACGAACAGACAAACTGGTCGCCGTATCTACAGTACTGATCTTAAAAAAATCAATGAATCAACTCATTGACATATATATGTCGGGTTGAGCTCTTCCCAATCATCACCTGTGTCCTCATGGTCCGTCATTTGTAGGTTAGACTCGAAATAGGAACACAATTAAATAATAGCAGGAAACGCGGTGATCTCAGAGATGCGTGCGATCGCAACGGTGCCTCCAAAAAGAATGCCTTCTCTTTCAAATGAGTCTAGTTACTACCAGCATAGACTATCTCATCAAATGTCATACGTCATCCACAGTTTCACTGACACTTCCCATACGTCATTGTCTATTAAACGAGTCAATAACAAGTCTACCCATAAACAATTACAATCGCAGTCTCATCTCCGATTCCACCAAGATAATTAACTTGACGTTTCCAATCTAATATAACACAGATATTTCCACTAGTGCTCCCCACATATATAAATATACTAGCTGACCCGGCAGACTTCGTAGTGCCTCAATCGATAAATAAAAGACCTAAACTTTTGTATAAAATAAACTCAAAACAAACAAAAGGAATCCGTCCGACGGGAACACATCAAAGGAAAAATTAAATTGTTATTTTTATTTAATATCGAGCATTTACATATTTATCTACCTTTTAAACCTTCTCTGGATTACAAATAATTCAAGATCAAAATTAGTCAAATCGGTCCAGCCGTTCTCGAGTTTTAGCGACACTAACGAACAGCAATTCATTTTTATATATAACAGGTCAGCACGCCCCTGTACATAAAGGTTTAGTGATTGCAACTTGTTTTACCACAAAACACATTCGATTGTGAGCTGCACGACACAGACTTGGTTATCAAACATACCTAATGCATCGATTCAGATTGAAACACAGAATAACACATACGCCATTCGCTACCTTTGCGCTGTAAAAATATTTATTTTTCATTTATAAACAAAGAAACGCACAATGATAAAAAAAAAACTCAGTGATTAATAGCATGAACAATGCAGTTTGATATTGGAGCGTAAATGATTGAAAAAAGATGTGTGGTGTGGACAACGGATAGGAATGAAGTTCCTTATTATAAAATATTAATTTTAAGTTCTATTCGAGGTAAGTATAAAGAAAATAATTAATCGGGTATACATTTTTTATTGATAAAAAAAAATAAAAAGCTACTTTACAAAGTTATCAACTTTATTTTATTCACAATGATTTATAAAATATATATAATAATAATATACACAGAAACAGCTATTTATATGAATAATAATAATAACCGTCATCACGTAGACTATACATTAGACACTGTATAGCCATCATACTAAGATTATACATAAATAATAAAAATCTTACGTTACGGACGTTTTTTCCCGGTTAGGGGGGTACCCCTCAGCATCGTCCCATAAGAAACTTCGTTCCAAAAAACAATAATGCTATTTATTTACAAGGAAATTAACTTTATGAAATGATCGCGGGGCCGCAAGCGAATGCATTGGTCTGACCAAATCCGCACCGCACTCGCTTCCAACGTCTTCTTCATCGTCATCTTCTCCGTGTAGCCAAAGATAGGATGAGATGGCACAATAACGCGAGGACGAAATTCTTGGATTGAGGTGATCGTGACCTTAGACGTGAGAAGCATAACAGAGCGAGAGGAACTTCAAAAATTGACCTTTATGATCGTGATATTATTGATAGATTGGTTGGTTGCCTTCAGTTTAAAAGATGATTGAATCGATTGATTTTTTGATAGATATAAACTGTAATTTATTTAGGATTAGTTTTATATGCTGTATATGTATATGCGGCATGATTGAGTAAAAACATCTTTACACTAAATGTAACATTTATAAAGTAATAAATAGATATGACCGATATGTTACGACCAAATACAAACTTCACGCATCTCTCGATCCTGCGCACTGTAAAACGCCCGACCACGGACGTACGTGTCACATACAAAAACACAATAAATAATAAACGAAGCATCGTAAAACTCGGTTGCGGTTTTTATCCGCTGTCCTTGAACGGAAACTTGCGGGCTTGTTTAGCGAAAACCATCGGCACACGAGCGCAATCAAAAATGACGAATTACGTCATGCCGCATTGGATTTGAAGTGTGCGTAACCGTGGACAAGCAAAACATTTTTTTTTAAGTTGGTACCCATGCCGTTTTCTTATGCAGTTTTTTTTATTAGCGTCTAGAGAGGCTATTTCAGCTTCGCCCTAACATGTAGGTGAGCTCACGAGGCTCAAACCGGGAGTGTTGC